TTTTTTTTTTTTTTTTTTTCAAGGATTTCATGATTTGAGTCAGAGTCCAGCAGCTATATGGAACAGCTCATCTAACAACTTGTATTTTACACATTTCCTGAGCATATTTTGTTCCAGTGCTGGCCCCAAGTGCCTTTTGTTGGAGCTAGCTGCTGTTCCTTGCCACACTGACTTCAGCTAAGTGACGGAGCCACACCCTCAGCTAGTTCCTTGTCTTCTCTGCTGGGTTAAACTTGTTTGCCCCTCCCCCAGTGTCTTCTTTGCCCCTTGCCCCCCAGAGATGCCTGCTCAGGTCAACAAGCTCCGATCAGCAGTGTAGGATTTGTCCAGTGGATATAAATTACAGTGAAATCGGGCACAGCACCCTTGAGAAATGAGCAGGTGGCTGGCAGGCATAGGGTGAGCTTCCTATTTCCTGTCCAGTAAGGTGTCATACCTTGCCCCTACACTGAAGGCACCGGAGATGATTTGGACTTCCATGTAATGTAACCCAAAAATAGCTCGTGTAAGAACTATATTTAGGATCTTGCTCATTATACTTTGGAAAACATTGGCATGTGTTTCCTTCTGCCAATGGAGGGGCAACTTCTAGGCAGTCAAGATCTAGGGGCAGGTGGCAGCATTCCTGCTACTGCGGTGGGGCTGGAAATCCTGTGGATTTTGAGGCCAGCTGGACAGGCCAGGACCCATCTGTAAGACCATGTTAGGTTCTCTAGGTGGCTACCTAGTTGTACTGACTGGTAGTCAGCTGTCTGGTAGTCAAGCAGATACCTGAGATAAGAAACTTATAAAGAGAAAAGGCTCATTTGGCCCCCAGTTTTGCTCACACAAAACTATTTAGCTTGTGATTGTTTAGCTCATTGTTTATGGGCAGGGAGTATGCTCACTTCAGGACCAGAATATGAACAAAATGGAAAGAGTTACAGGGAAAGGAGCTGGGGTCCCACTGTCACCTCAAGGTACACACCCAGGGGCTAGAAGACTTCTCTCAAGTCTACCTCCTAAGGTTCCAGCCTCCCATTAGTGTCTGGGTTGGGGCCAATGCCTTTACACATGACACTGGGAGAAGCCAAGCTGGGCTGCAGTCCTGGTCGCTTTCAGGAGCCCTGCTTCCAGTTTGTTTCTCATCCCTGCATTTCAATCTCTACTCCTGCTGAAGCTGCTCTTATTGGGCATCCAAGATTTCAGTAATGAGCAGTGAGGATACTGGGAACACTCAGCCTACCCGAGGGAGGAGAGCTCTACATTAGGAACTGGAAAATTGGACTCTCTATAGGGTTTTCCTACTCCTGGATTTTTCTTCTGGTTCTGTTGAATACATCAGTCTGACTCCACTATTGATTATAACAAGAGATAATTACTTTATCTCAGATCATCTGTATAAAAAGTGTGCTGGAAAAGCATAAAGAACCAGATTAACAAATATAATAATAGGGAGGCCCACAGCTTTCATTTCTAGCTTCTCCACTTGGCCAGCTCTGTAATCTTGGCATAAAATTTTCTGGACTTGGGTATCTTTGTGTTCAGAAAGAGATGTCTGTGCCTCTATATAACCTCCCAGATCCCTTCTACCCCAGCAGTACCACTTCACTAAGATAGCTGATCTTTGGGATGGTGACCCCAGAGGGTCATTGAGTACCCCTTAGTCACCCCAGCCTGACTGCTTCTCATGGATTCTCAAGTCGTATTTTCTATGTCATTGCAAAGAGCTTTGTCTTCCTGATTTCTGTTCATTCCTGCTCCATCCCATTCATCCTTGTCTACCCTGAACTATTAGTTTTCTGCTTTCTAGTGCTCTCTTTGCTAGGCTCTATTGTAGCTTCTTTATCCTAAAATCTTCCTGAAGTCTGTATCCATGTCAACAGGAGATGTCTTCCAAAGTCACTTCCAGATTGAAATCTTAGGCTTCCTTCTGAAACCAGATTCCTGTAAGTCATCCTTTCTTGTGTCACTAGACCCATCTTGCTGCCAGTTACTCAGACACAAGTGTCACAATTTTGAATTTTGTTTCTTCTTG